CAATCAACTGTGTTTAAATATTTATGAGTGCGTGGGGGTTTCGTCGCCCCTCCAGTTATAATGGATACTTACCGTTGAAGTTTTCAGTGAGTAGGAATAATGTGTTGTTTTTTATGACTACTGTACATGTATAAGCAGAGGCTGCGATGGTGGAACGGTTACTGCGCTCGTCTCCTAAGCGGGAAGTCCGGGTTCGAGCCTCAGTTCGGACATGGATTTATCCCCCCCCCCCCTTTCTGCCCACCCAGCAGTAATGGGTACCTGACTTTGAGTTGGGGAAGTAAAGACGGCGTGGAAAGGAACTGGCCACCCTATCATAATTATTATGCCGAAGGCCCAGGAATTGTCTCACTAACAAGGCAATCCCCAATGTCTGGAACGGATGCGAGAACAACTTTACTTTTTACTGAATAAGCCAAAGATCGCCGACAGTGCCATACTACAAAATGCGCTATTCAAGCTTCTGTTGTATGGTTGCATGGAGAACGGTCCCAGTTGTCAGCAAAACCATTTTTGAGCAACAGGGTGAAAAGGCACAAAAATTCGTACCCGGTCAAACATTTAGTTCCCCCAGAAAGCACATGTTCAACTATTACTTAATAACATATTGTTTTAGTTTTTGTAGAGGTTTTACAGCCCTCGCAACTGCACAAGGTCATATGAGCGCCAAAGTGTGGATGTCCACAGAGATGTCCTTACAGGGAATCAGACTTACTCTGTTCACCTCTCTAGCTTCAACAGCACAAAGTCTGCTTCGACTATAAAGGCACCCCGGGAATAGCGGGGCATAAGAGGGTGACAAACATACAAAAAAGTAGTGGAAAATGACGATAGCAAAGATTAAGAAAGAAAAAGCAGCAGTTCGTTATCGCAGCTCAGGCACAGTTATGAGCATGACATCGATGAATCAGTCCATTTACAGTTCTACTGTGCATAAGAACAGGTCCCCCCTTTGAGAATGGCATAAAGACACTTCAGAAAGTAGCACCGCCCAGGGGGTTGAATAACATATTGAAAGATTTTGAAGTCTAAATAATATTATTATTTTTAGTAATAATATTTGCAATATGTTGTACTTCAAAAATGTGTTAAAAATTGGGTCAACGCACAAAGGTTAAAGCGGTTTTTCTCCAACGTTTGTTTTTTCGTCCTGAATTATAAAATATGGAATATCTTTATGACAACTCACGATATTTGAAAAAAAAAGAAAAATCAGTGTGTTCAAAATCGAATTTGCCACAAGAACGTACAAACATTTCCAACAACTGAAACCTTTGTTCTAGACACACACAAATATTATCTCAACATTGCTCAAATCCTCCCCGATATCTTGCAGAGGCAGAGAACATAACACGGCCTTTCTTTCCGTTCTATTCTTCTTCTTCTTTGCCTTCCCTTCTATTCTTCTTCTTTTCTGCCTTCCCATCTATTCTTCTTCTTCTCTGCCTTCCCATCTATTCTTCTTCTTCTTTGCCTTCCCTTCTATTCTCCTTCTTCTCTGCCTTCCCATCTATTCTTCTTCTTCTCTGCCTTCCCATTTATTCTTCTTCTTCTTTGCCTTCCCTTCTATTCTTCTTCTTCTCTGCATTCCCCTGCCAGTTCTCAGGTGATAGTCAACTGCTCTGATTCTTCAACCTGCTGTGCAACTGATTTTTACCCGTGTGACCGTTTTTGCTACTTAGTAGGGTCCCTTGTGTTCAGGAAGCCGTATACCGATTGCGAAGGTACTCTATATTACGTTTTTAAAAATACTGATTAGATTATTTTTAACTTTGGTAGGAATCAATTCTGAATTTGCCCGGGTGGCGGCCGAAGCCCACTCTTATCAAATGTAGGACCACCGAGGGTTCTTTAACGTGCGCAACTTGTACACTTAAAAAATAAATAAATCTATCAGCCTTTTTTTGTTCTCAAGCATGAGATTGTTCATTGTTAGCACTCCCTTCATTGCTCTAAAATTTCGTATAAAAATTTAGGTTACATTACAAAGTCAACAACTTACCGCAATTAAATAATAGTGGATGTAAGCTAATTGTTTCGGTGTTCAGAACTCATGGACCAATGAACACTATTTTGTTACATACCTGAGTAAAAAACCCCAGTCTCTCCACAGTTGTAGCACGTGCCAGTATATAAACACAGGACTAACAGGTTGTGAGATAAAAACGAGTGGCTGCTCTCTACATTGAGGACTGGCACTGCCCCTCTGCGTACTTCAGGGGGCTCTCGTGGCCTAGAGGTTAAGGTGTTGGCCTCTCATTCAAAGGTCCCGGGTTCGAATCCGGGTTGCGACCGAAACATTTTCTTCTCTAAAATTGTCTACTTTCACCTCCTTTCCTGCTCTCTAGCAATGTTCTGTTGTCTGCTTTCATTTCCACTTTCTGCCCCCACCCCCTCACCTCCTTTGACCCCTCCTCTGGGCTCCTGTCTCTTTCTGCCGCCTTTCTATTGCTACTCCTTGGCTCCTCCTTACTGCTGTCTTTGTGCCACACCCCTGATCTTCTGGTAGGAAAGATCTACACCTAGCCTTCTCACACAAGGGCGAAAAATCTCGGAGGGCCCGTGTGCAAGTTGCGCTCGTTAAAGATCCCTTGGTGGTCTAAAATCGATAAGAGTAGGCTTCGGCCGCCACCAGGGCAAAATTCAAAATTTCCTACCAACTGAAAATATTAGGTGTGTCCCGCGCACTCATATACCCTTATGCAGTTGCGAGCGCCGTAAAACACTTACAAAAAAACAACAACAACAATGCGCACTTCATTTATAGAACGTGCCGCATGCAACATTCCACGTTGTTTCGACATGAACGACCTCATTTGTTTCTAAAAAGTGAGTGTAAGACGACTTGAATTCAAAAGTTAAATTTACATTAACTATTTTAAAAACTATTTAATTAAAAGACAACATCAAGTATTTCGAAGCTGACACTTTGAACTGCCAATAAAAAAATACCCGTTGACAATACGGAATAGGGGTTTCACGACATTGTGATAATTCTTTTCCAATTAGCGAGGATATCCCTACGAAATGAAAAACAAACAAGACAGTGCGCTCGTACAATGACAGATCCCATACCAATCTTTCTACCTTAAGATAATACACTTACGTTGAAAGATTGTATTGTTTGTAATCAGCATTTCTAAGGAAATAACGTCCCTATTAAGCTTTTCAAGTAATATTCAGAAAACAATTTAAAGCGTTTCCGTTTTATGTTCTGCGCTACACAGCTCGAGAAAGGTTCAATGCCCCTATCGGAGTTGGACGCGAACCGTATTTACTCTTTATATAGTAAATTATATATGATTGTTCTTATCTGGTGGTCTTGAATTGTATACCATGTTATAAAACATCTAATTTTCTCCTTGTGTTAGAGGCCACAGCAAGAGTATAAGAACGGGGTTCTTGAAGACAATGATCGTCTCTCCTTACCCCAGCCCTAGAGATCAGTTCCTGTAGTCTCTTCAGATGTGCAGAATATTTACTGTTGGATAAAGGTGTTCGAGGGTAGGTATGGTATGTGCGTATGGAAGGGATGTCCCTTGAAATTATTGACTTGGGATCAAATAATGCAATGTTTGTTATTTATTCATTAAGGTAGTTCAGCCCCGCATGTGTCGAAAATAAGAGCAAGAATAAAGATAGAAATAACAAGTAAACATAGACAAAATTTTAGAAACATCATGAATTGCTTTTGAAAACTTTATAAACTAGGCGGAAGTTTTCCGCAACAAACAACACCCCCCCCCCCAA